GGTCCCAGGGTCTCCTGCCGTTTGCAACAGCTGCTCCAAGCCCAGGAGCGCTGCTGAGGAGCCTGCAGGGAGGCAAGGACCTGATCTCCTTCATGGGAAGAGCTACCAAGGGCTACTTGCTAAAGCACATTCCACTATCCAGAAGTGTTACAGTTGCCACAGAGGTAACACTCAGTGGGAAACAGGAGGGAAGGAAAACAAGAATATAGCTCATAATGATCTTAAAAGAGTAATTAGAAGTTGATAAGCAGGAGTCAAGGTGAAATTGGACAAGGAGGAATAAGTATTAGGTCAGGAAACTTCAGGATAGAAGATGAGAAGGAAAATCCAACAACAGGAACAGGCCTGGGAAAAGAAGTCCCAAATAACAGCTTGTCTGTTTTGAAGGATAAAATCTTCAAGCAGGGAGGGTGCTGCTGTGTGGCTGCAGAGCCAATGACCCAGCAGCTCTGCAGCAGGTACAGCAGAGCCAGTGGATTAAAAGTCTGTAAAATCCAGAGAGCCCTGAGCTGTGCAGAGCTCCTGCCACTGCCACAAATACTAACTGGACCAAACAGAATTTACCAGGACAGCTTGCTGCTCCTTCCCTCTGTTCCTTGGAATACCACAGCCAGCTTGGACAAGTTTTCAGCAAGAAAGCTGCAATATACACATTTGATGTTTTTTTTTAAACCTTCACTCAGACTCACATTCAACCTTTTCTCACATTACAGCACAGAGCAGCAGGACAGTCTCTGAGGGCTACAGAGGAGCAAAATCACCTTGACTAGCAGCTAAGAAACCAGCCCTGATGAAAAGCTTTCATGCAGCAGTTTGCCTGGAACACAGGCTGAGCTCCCAGCTCCCACAGAAACTAAAATGAGTTTTCCTGATGAAAACCCAGCTCAGGTTTGGAAGGTTCCTTTCAGAGAGCCCCCTTTCACATGGGAAGCAGAGCAATTACAAAATAGTTGTCCATGTAAGATTATCACTAGAAAACAATTCCACACCAAAGGCTCCACACACAGGGTTGGATGTGCCTACATTCCCAGAGTCCAGCCATGTCACTCATGACTGTTTTCCCTTCCCGATGTGCTCAGTTTACAAGCAAGAAAACTCCTCCCTTTTCTTGCTCAACAGCCAGCTCAGCAAGTTCAGTGTCAGATGTGAATCAAGCTCACTTTTCCTGGGCAGAACCACCTACAAAAGCTCTGCAGGCCAAATCCAGACTGCACCAACATCCATGCAGATTCCTTCTTTTCACTGATTGCACAAAATTTCCCCCAACTGGAATTGAGTAAAACTATCACTGGCAACACAAACAGGGAGAGAGTGACATTCCCTTTGACTGCTACTTGTGCAAAACAGAGAAGAAAAACTGAGCCATCCTCATGGAACAGCTCCAACACACTTTGCCCAAGATAAAAATCAAAGTTTTAAATAACAAGGAGGCTCTTTTTACAAAGTCACCTTTGGAGTGTTCCTATCTACCCACCTCCAGCAAACCAGTCCATCCCCCACCTCCTCCAACCACTGCCCTCTGGAATTAGGCAGGCTGCTGTTTCCAGAGAAAACAAGAAAAACCTGACTGAGCATGACACAGCACAAGAAATGCAGCTTTGGTGAAGTCTGGGTGGTGAAGTATCCAAAATGACACTGATCACAGGAAAGGATGCAAAGCCTGAGCTGCAGTGGGCAGGTCCCAACCCTTCCTGAACCAGCACAAGGACCATTAGAATATCCTTATCTGTTATCTCCCAAGAGGATTAAACTAGATCAGGGTAACTGCCCATCCACAGAGCTTGGTACTATTGTTTTAGTGGGAAATATTAAAATAATTTACCAGTGCAGACTGTGTGCAGGACAAACCTAAGGCTGTTTCCTCTTGCAGCTCTGAATTACACCCAGTTACAACAGCTGAGGGCCATGGGAAGGTGTCAAGGCCACTGACAGAAAGAGTTGCCAGTTTCAAAAGCATCCCCTCACTAGTACTTCTCCAGGTATATTATGTTGTATATTAATGTTAGTTTTAGACTTTAGGAGGAAATTCTTTGCTGTGAGGGTGGTGAGAGCCTGGCCCAGGCTGCCCAGGGAAGCTGTGGCTGCCCCATCCCTGGCAGTGTTGAAGGGCAGGTTGGATGGGGCTTGGAGCAACCTGGGCTGGTGGGAGGTGTCCCTGCCCATGCAGGGGGTGGGACTGGATGATCTTTAAGGTCCCTTCCAACCCAAACCAACCTATGAGGTTTTGCCCCAGTTCCACTCAATCACTTGTCTTAAATATGTTCTTTACTCATCATTTCCTTAACAAGAACCACCCCCAGTGACAACTGCCTTCTCCATCCTGGGGACACAGGGCAGAGCACTGTGTGCCCAGCAGTCACCTCCATGGCTGTGATAAGACAAACTAATCCAGTTATTGCAGCAACATGAGAAAGGTAATTTTAAAGGAATATTTACTTACCTGTCTGGATAAGCAGGTAAAGTTATTTAAGCTTCTTTGGATGTGACCTGAAGTCCTGGGCCCCTTTTGGTACTTGGAACAATCAACTTCTCCATAGGAATGCTAACATTAATTCAATGTTTTAAAGGACTGAAGGAAAGCAAGAGCTGGGCAAGGAAAGGAGAGTGGTAGAAACAAGAGTTGGCTTACAAGTTGGCTGCAATTCAAACTTGATATTCAAGGCATCAAAATATTAGTATCAACATCTCAATCATCTAAGTTTGGTGCCACGTGTGCTTACAATGTTCATTAGAATATTCAAAGAGAAGCAAAGTCATCACTAGACATAAAGCAAGTTTTTAAAAAGAAATAGTCAGAACAAGATCCCCATGGTCAGAAGAACACCCCTAGTATGGGTTGAAAACTGCTGGAGTTGAGATTCCAAGGACCATATCAGTAACTTGCCTGTGAGACAGCACACCCTGACAGCCTCTTACTTGGTGAGGACACAAGAACACTTTGCAGCAAGGAGGAGTTTCATGATGCATTTCCCTCTGCTAGGTCCCACTATCATGGAATGGGTTGGAAGGGATCCTCCAGTCCCAACCCCCCTGCATGGGCAGGGACACCTCCCACCAGCCCAGGCTGCTCCAAGCCCCATCCAACCTGCCCTTCAACACTGCCAGGGATGGGGCAGCCACAGCTTCCCTGGGCAACCTGGGCCAGGCTCTCACCACCCTCACACTCCACAATTCCCTCCTCATGTCTCCCCTCAATCTCCCTCTGCCAGTTTTCATCCATCCCCCCTTGTCCTCTCCCTCCCTGCCCTTGTCCCAAGCCCCTCCCCAGCTTTCCTGGAGCCCCTTCAGGCATTGGAAGCTGCTCTCAGGTCTCCCTGGAGCCTTCTCTTCTCCAGGCTGAACACCCCAACTCCCCCAGCCTGGCTCCAGAGCAGAGCTGCTCCAGGCTTGCAAATCCTCTCTGTGGCTCCTCTGGACTCTCTCCAACAGCTCCAAATCTTTCTTGTGTTGGGGGCTCCAGAACTGGACCCAGTTCTCCAGGTGGGGTCTCTCCCAGGAGCTCCAAACCTCAAAATGGAGCCTCCAGCAAAAATCCAAGTGCATCTTCACTGAAATAACTGGCAGGGGTGTAGCCCAAAAAACCTTCTTTACTTTGTAAGAAACATTTAATTCAACACAACGAGTTACAAGAGAACAGATGTACAGAATAATAACCATAACAGACTGTTCAAAAAGGAAAATAATTTTCACTGGCTGCAGTACCAGGTAAAGTTTCCCAAAGCAACACCTGATAGAGCAGCAGCAAAGTACAGCTCAGTCTTCTTGCAGGACTCCAAATGAGCAAGATCAAATAACTTTGTATTTTCAATTTTTTTCAGAAAAAGAGTTAATCTAGAACCAATGACTTTGGCATAGGATCTTTTTCAAGGAGCTGAAACCTATTCAGGTCACTAAGTTGAACTATTCCCAAAGGCTATTCCTTTCCAGGCAATTCCCCTGGTCCCTTGCTGGCACTGCTAAGCACTCTTACATGATAAAGGCTCTGGGAGCTACTTTCTTCCCCAAGTTTTGGGATACCAACAACTTGCACAATTGGTTGGTGGCACAATATTTAATCCACCACTTTATACTGTTCTCTCAGCTGAGATGTCCACAGATGAATTATGCAATGGATACCCTAAGACTAAAATAACTTTTTCAACTTAGTCAACACATTCTCCAAACTATAAACTCACACCTTCCTCCCCTCTTCCTGTTCTTCCTCCCCAGATAAATCCATTTTTTAGCCACAAGTTACTCCAATATGCTCACAGATGTACTAGAAGAGACTGAGGAATCAATCAAGGTACCCATGGTGAAGCCAAATACTTATAAACACATTAAGGCAGGTTTCACATCATTTCATTTTAGGGCACAAAATGCTGGTCACTTCACTGCACATGCAAATAAGAAAGATTTAATACTTAATAAAAAGCTTTAAATTTATCAAGTATAGAAAAAAATCAACCTTTTTCCTTTCTTGTTTTAAAAGAGGTCAGAACATTACTGCACAGGAAAGCAGATGTGTAGACACACCTATTGGAATGGATCCCCTTCCCTCCACACACACTGAAGGGCAGGGTTCTTGGCACCAGAAGAGAAAGGAGGAAGTTTTCCTCATTTTCAGTCAGAAATCAGTTGTGCTTCCATTCCCAGTTGAGAAGGTCCTTCAGACCAGACTTAAACCAAAGCAGATCATACCACAGAGTGGGGATGTTTCTCTTCACAGCTCTGATTTGGCTACACCCAGACGTACACACAGCTCTGCACCAAACCCTGCAGGGTTGTGCCCTCCCTGTGGTGCTGGAACTGACTGAAAAATGGATTGCAAGGCCAATTCCTCTAGTGTAACTTCCCCTACTAATCAAAATCTCGGGTGGAAGAGGCACTAGCAGTTCATCTCTGAGACTACACTTCCAAGACCAATGTGGTCTTGTGAGGAGAAGGACAAGCAGTGAACTGCCACGTGGAATGACCATCCCCACCACCAAATGACCTCCCTACAGTCTGGTTCAAACAGGCAGCAGAGCAGCCAAGGAGTGAAACAGCATCTCTCACTTGTGTTGGAGAGAAAATTGTTTCTATGGGTCATGGTTAAATGTACTTTGATAGAAAAGCTTAAAAATGTATCATCTATCACTGACCCACAACAACAAAAAAGGACAGGAAATTTGGTTCCTAGTGTTTTCCCTCCCACTGTTTTATATTCCTTTATTCCCTCCCACTTTTGCATTCCCCATTACCCTACCCCTTTAAAAAAAAGGAGGGGGAGTAGAGTTTAGTCAAGTTCCATCTTCAAAACTACCCAGCAATTAATGAACCATCAGCTTCTCAACGTTTCCTGAAGTGTAGATCAAAATGCTCACAGGTACAGTTGCACTGTTGGTGCAGTTCACTCAGCAGACACTCTTGGCTTTGTAAATAGTTGTGCTGACCCTGCTGATCAGGTTTATACTGGGAATTCTTAGATGGAACTCCCTAAAAGGAAGAGAAAAAAGACCTTGTAAGTCAAGAAGAACTTTGTATATCCTTCTAGCAAGTGAACCCTTAAAAGAATAAAGCACCATTGCCATAACATTTCTTTATCTCTTGGTTTCCACCTTCAGCTTGTCCTGCTGCTTTGCTGTTGCCAGACCTTTGTAGTAGGATGGAATGCAAGACACTCACTGTCCAAATAAAGCTACTGCTTGTGATGTGGTAAAACAGGGCAATATACAGAGCCCAGATAGATGGTATCTCCCAAAGGCCAAACAGATTCCATGTTATAATCAACCTTCCACCTTGAAGGGCTGCAACATAAATCACACTTCCTTCTACCTGAACCACAGCTGCCACCTCCCCCAAAGAAGCTGCTTTTCTGCTTTTCAACCTAAAAATCCTCTTTTTTTTTTTTTCTCCCCTCCTCCACATTCTTGATTCTTCCTCCCAGGCACTGCAGTCTCCATAATGAAGCACCCAGGGTATTGGCTACCCTGTTTCAGGGACAGCACACTAACTGCTTTTCTTAGGCTAAAACTTCAAATGATCAAATATTAAAATCAGTGAGTTCTGTTTTCATCTTCCTGCACGAGCTGCACTGATGATACATCCAGTGCTCCTGGTGGGGGAGACAGGAAAGGAACACAGCAAGGAAAGACACTGGGACAGGTTGCCCAGGGAAGCTGTGGCTGCCCCATCCCTGGCAGTGTTGAAGGGCAGTTACTCCTGCTGTGCTACCTTCAATTTCCCAGGTGTTCCTAGATTTTTAATAGATTTGTTCTTCTGTTAATTTCAGTTTATAAATTCCTGCCTCATATAAAGTTTTTTAGCAGCTTTCCTCTACTGATGGTCAGGTTGCTTTTTTCTAGCTTTCTACAAACATTATTTTATAAAGACCACACAAGTTGTCTCTGACATACCCTGCAACAAATGCTCACTAAAAAAGCAAAAAATGAGAGAAAAAAGCAGGTAGAGGGAGAAACCAAGTCCATGAGATGGCAGCTGCCCTCTCTGCCCAGTGTCCCCTTGCCTACTGTAAGAAGTAATAAATAAATAGAGGGAAAAAATGAGCATCAGATGACAATTTTTTAAGACCTGATCCACTCTTAAGACAGAATCCTTCAAGCATTTACATACAGGTTTGGGTTACACATTTAGCCCATCTGACACAGAAGGTACAGAACATGCCAGGACAATAAAAGCCCCCACCAGACATCACAGCACACCAAAATATTTTGTATTTTTTTTCCCTGTAAACATGGCTACATGTGCACTTTTTAAAGTGCACTTCAAAAAAGCAAAGGTCAAGATCCTTTCAGGTTGTTTCTGCAGTCTTTGCTGCCTTCAGTGAGGAGCAGCTTAAGGTGAGAAAGGACGTGTCATGTTACCTGGACTATACGTTCTCCATCTCCTGCTCATGGTCCTGCTCCTCCTCCTCCTCTTCCTCTTCTCCTTCTTCCTCACCTCCTTCCTTCTCTGAGGGAGCCTCCCCATCTCTTGCTATCTCCTCTACATGGGCAAGCATGTCAGCCATCAGGGCCTCCTCCAGCCTCTTCCGCACCTGCTGCACCAGCTCCTCTTGCTTCCTGCCCCAAACCAACCAACATCCACATCAACCCTCAGACCTGCCTCTTCCAGGGGAGAGGAATCCTTCAATCCCTCACACACCAGGCTGGGCAGACCAGCAAGGCTTTGAAAGAGCCCTCTAAGAACCACAATGTAAAAGAATTGCCTGGCATGATATTAAAAGTGAAGCTAAAAGAAACACTTGAAAAAGTTCCCCAGTATTTTATATTCTTTCTATTTTTTTCTAATATTTAAAAAGTCTCCCAATATTTTCTATTATTATTATAGTTTCTAATATTTCTCCTATTTCTGTTTTCTCAGGTGCTTAGTTGATTGTACCATTTGTAATTCTGGCTGAAATCTGCCTAATTTAGCACCTGACTAGAGACTTTTTAAAAAATTCCTAGTACTAATATTAATTTAAACAAGAAAAAGCCAGAGTCTACCCTCCTCAGATTTCCAAACATGAGCCAATCAAACTCCTCACAATTTCAATCTTTTTGCTCATCCTCCTTTGGAGTCCCAACTTCAATTTTACAGCTCCTTTCCTGTCCAGTCATAGGAAAGTCTGTGGCTCATGGGGATACTATTTCATTTCAGCCACAGGAAATAATCATGGGATGAACAGATCATTTTTTTCCCTGGTCATTCATGTATAAATCAAGCACAAAAAGTCATCCTGTAATTAAAAAAGATTTACCAGTCACAGTTAAAGTAATTATTACCTTTAAACACTGTTAATGCAAGGTTGGGTGCTCTCAGGTATATTTGGTATATTGAGTTCTCTACCAAGTGCTTCAAGCTGAATTTGACCCATGTTGATTAAGCAACATAATTACTGAAAGCAAACTATATCTAAATAAATTGCATCCTTGTTTGCTGCCACCACAACAGTTATTGCTTTTATTTGGTCCTCTGCAGAGATAGATTAAGATGAAGAGAATCAGCTTGCACTGTGCAGGATTCCTCCAATACTTTCTTTAATTACAGGTGCTCTAATCAAGGTTATTCAAATCCAGACACCTTTTCCAATACAAGGAGACACACTCTGACATGAAAAACAAACACAAACCTGAAACCTCAGAGTAACTGAGGTCTAAATAAAAAAGGCTTAAAATACAAGTTTGTATCAGAGCAGCTGGTGTAAATTTTTTTCTACTCTACTGATAATAAGACATTCAAATTAACTCCATGAGCCACAGACACCAGACATTAAATCTTGCCATTAAAAAAGAAAAAGAGGGGGTTCAGTTTTACCAGAGGAAACTTTGCTCCAAGATAAAAAATGATATTTCTAGTTAATACCTAATATCTTCATCTGTCACCATAAAAGCTTTGCAAAGAGGCTGGGAGGTGTTCAACCACACTCCAGGGTTCTTCTCCACAGCTGCAGAGAGTTGCCCTGTGATGGGCATGGTGCTGGTGTGCAGGGCACTGGCAATAGCAGAGAGAAGGGTTTCATCAGTGCAGCCAGGTCCAACCCCTGCAGAATGGGAAGAAAAAGCAGGATCAGCACTGCAGAAGAGGAAGAGCAGCACATGGGGCCAACAGGCAGTGACACAGGGTCATCTGGTCACTGGGGGAGTAGGTGGGAGTTATTAGGGGACAGGGTTAGAGGGGGGCTGGGGGAGAAGGGATGGGAAGTTTTGGGGCCCTCAGCACATTGGGAATGGATGCTATTCCCAGTCTGCTTCTGGAAAATTAACTGGAATTAAAAAAAAAAAACAACAACAAAAAAAAGAGTCCAGAAGCTTTTACTTCAGTATCCCCTGAGGACAAGGGGCACTGATCCTCCCAGCAAGAGAACTCAAGAGTTCCTGCTCCACAGCACTGAGGAGCACTGAAGACCAGGGAGGTCACACAAAATTCCTTCAGATCACCACAGATTGGTATCAAAAAGCCACCCCGGGAGTGAAGGGCAGACTCTGATTACCTTGTAAACCTTTTGGAAGGTCCATTGTTTTCACCAGCTCCTCTGCAATGTCAAAAGCATTCAGTCCACTTAATTTCTTCTCCCAGAAGAGCTGGCATCAAAGAAATGTGTTTATTGGCACAAAGCAAAAATGGAATTGACAGCTACACAAAGCACCTGCTTTACCACCAAAGGACACAACTGCAGACACTGGGATATTGGATTTACTATGGGTGGGGTCTGCCAACATCTGACAGCAGGGAACAACCCCCATGGACCATCTGTAGTGAGAGGACAAGGAGGGATGGATGACAACTGGCAGAGGGAGATTGAGGTGAGACATGAGGAGAGAATTGTGGAGGGTGAGGGTGGTGAGAGCCTGGCCCAGGTTGCCCAGGGAAGCTGTGGCTGCCCCATCCCTGGCAGTGTTGAAGGGCAGGTTGGATGGGGCTTGGAGCAGCCTGGGCTGGTGGGAGGTGTCCCTGCCCATGCAGGGGGGGTGGGACTAAGTGGTCTTTAAGGTCCCTTCCCACCCAAACCTTTCTGTGATACATGCCCTGATCACTGATACCAGTGACAGTGCCTGAGCTGACTCATGAAGCTGAACATCCAGTTTCCAAAAGATGAAGATGGACTCAGTGCAAGGAAGGCTTCACAGAACCCCTGGTGTGACCTCTATGGAGGCAACAGCCTGTCAGCTCCAGGTAATATTCCTGGAATGAAGATGTCTTCCAGAGGCTGCTTTGAACTGGTATATCTTATTTTACCAGTGCCCAACTTCAAAGCCACCCTCATCCTGAAGGACACTTTCTGCATCCTCTCACTAGATGAAACTCAGCTGAAAGGTTTCCTTTAATGTTGGTGTCATTCCCTTCTCACAGTACGATGAGAAAAACACTGTGATTTTGTACTAATAATGACATTCCAAGTGAATTTACAACCTTATTAATCCAGGTAGAGGTAAGTACTAAATGACACATGCATCAGAAAAAAGAACCATGCAGGGGGAACCATCACAAACACCCCACTGGATGTGGTCTGCACAGGAACAGGCATTTCCTGGAACACAGAATTCTTGTACAATTGGAACATGTGACAGTGACTCTAATTACAATGCAAATACCCCCTAAAGTGGTTACAACGTCTAAATTTGCAGATAATTTCAGCATGCAGGAAATGAAGACTTAAGTGCACAACAATTGTCATCTAAATAAATGTTGGAGACCAGATATCAAAGGCAGCACATTAACTGGATATTGGAAATGATTTGGTTCTAGTTTTAAAAGCTGGGAGCACTGTAAATTCCTGTTCCTGAAATATCAGACACCTTAAATGACCATGGACTATATGGGCAGCATCAGAAAATTAAATTGATTTATTTGGGGATATAATTCCCAGCAGCAAACCCAGGAGTTTCTTAGCTCTGGAGAAGCAGCTTCTCAGCTTCAAGCCTTACCTGCCGGGGCTGGTCCACAGCTTTCTGAGGATCACTCTTCACCTTATTGCTGGGATGATTGGTGATCTTTGTGACAGGCTGTTTGAATATGGAGGCTGTCTGTCTGACAGGCAGTGCTGTGTTCAAATCAGGCTTCCCCTAAGTATTTCAAACAAAAGGAGAGAGGGGAGGGGAGGAAAAACCCACAAAAAATATTTAGAATTTATTAAAACGCTCCTAAAACCATCAAGATGTACAGCAGGGAAAAGAGTTCATGGACTCCAAAACCTCTCTGATCTCAAGCTAAGTTAAGTTTGTTAAAAATGTGTAACTATATTCAAGTCTTACCTCAGACCAAACAAGTTCAGTTTTCCAGTCTTTCACATTCTACTTGACACACTGGCCCTCCTCTCACTCTTCTTTACACACACGGGTTTTAAGTCCAGTGTTGACAGAAGTTATCACAGAGTGTCAGGGGTTGGAAGGGACCTCTGAAGATCATCCAGTCCAACCCCCCTGCCACAGCAGGACCAAAACCAGGGCAGGTCACTCAGAAAGGCATCCAGACAGGGCTGGAAAGTCTCCAGAGAAGGAGACTCCACAGCCTCTCTGGGCAGCCTGTCCCAGGGCTCTGTCACCCTCACAGCAAAGAAGCTCTTTCTCATGTTGAGCTGGAACTTCCTGGGCTCCAGTTTGAATCCATTGCCTCTCGTCAGGAGGGCAGAATACTGAGTTTTAGGAGTCAGAACACTGAGCTTTGAGGAGTCACTAGGACACTAAACAGAAGATTCTAATACAATGTTTGTAATTACTAGAAAAACTATGATGTAGGATTTAGAAACCAGTTTCTGAAGCCCAAAACCATTCCAAACCATTCTGTTGAAATCCAGTTGTGGACACCAAGAAACAAACCAACACAGCTGGAACCCTGACCACCTTTTTTACCTCCAATTCTTAATAAAACTCTTTTTAAATGGAGCTCATAACAAGCAAGTCTTCAACAACAGGACTGCATTTTATGTTAGCGGGAACATAGGAAAACTGTTTCTCATTCCCAATATCCAACATCCAAGTCTTGCCATGGCTGCAGGACACACTTTGTTCTGGAGGATGCAGACACCACATCTGCTTAACATATTTATTCATGAGATGTAGAAAAGATGTATCCAGGACAAATAGGATTCTGAATCATCTGTGTGTTAATCCATTGACAAGCCAATGATAACTGCATTGATTGAAAGGTTTGGGCAGAAGTTTTAGCCTGTGACACGTGGTTTCTGCTGCAAGGCAAGTTTCTCTTCAAGTACCACCATAGCACCCACCATTCTGTGTCCCAGCCACTCTGGTGATGATGCCTCGACTGGCTGACATGTTTAGAAAGTAACATTATGCTGTTTTCCACCTTTAATGTTCAGGTGCACAGACATCAAATGCTGTGCTTCCAAAGTGTTTTTAGCATCTGATGAAGCTTAACAACAACCTGAGCCAATGTCACCTCACTAAACCATAACATCAAAACTACTAGATGCCAAACCCAAACTGTTTGATTTTGTTCTAGCCTTGCTATCCGCTTGTCTCTTCAGCTTTTTGCCCCAAATGCATCCCCTCCTTAGACCAATTCCAAAGCTGATACCAGTGTGGCCTACAGACAGCCCAGGGAGGCTGTGCTACCTCCTCACCTCTGCTGCCCCACAACATCCCCCAAGACCAAATGCCAGAGCAGGGCAGAGCTGCTGCACAGCCACAGGAGCCAGCTGGAGCCCTGAGGATCTAGAGAAGATCATGGTGGAGAAGGCAACCTTGCACTCCAAGGAGGGGAGGAGCAGAAGATCCCACAGATGTAGCATTGCTGCAATATCAGGGCTGACCTTCTGGAAAGCAGCTCCATGGAGAAGGACCTCAGAGTCCTGGTGGACAGTAAGTTCTATGGGACAGCAATGTGCCCTTGTGGCCAGGAAGGCCAATGACATCCTGGGGAGCATCAAAAAGAGTGTGTCCAGCAGGTCAAGGGAGGTTGTCCTCCTCTACTCTGCCCTAGTGAGACCACATCTGGAGTGTTGTGTCCAGTTCTGGGCTCCCCAGGTCAAGAGGGACAGAGAGAGGGACTGGAGAGAGTCCAACAGAGCCTATAAGGATAATTATGGGACTAGAACATCTGTCTATTGAGGAAAGGCTGAGAGATCTGGAGCTGTGCATTCTGGTGAAGAGAGAACTGAGGGGGGATCTTATTAATGTTTACAAATATCTGACAAGTGGGTGTCAAGAAGAAGGGGCTAGACTCTTTTCAGTGGTGCCCTGGGACAGGATGAGGGGCAATGGATTCAAACTGGAGCCCAGGAAGTTCCAACATGAGGAAGAACTTCTTCACTGTGAGGGTGACAGAGCCCTGGGACAGGCTCCCCAGAGAGGTTGTGGAGTCTCCTTCTCTGGAGACTTTCCAGACTCATCTGGACACCTTTCTGTGTGACTTGCCTCAGGTGATCCTGCTCAAGCAAGGGGCTTGAACTCAATGATCTTGAGGTCCCTTCCAATCCCCACCATTCTATGATTCCGTTCTTCTGTGGCATTGACACCGTGGAAGAATCAGTGAATGGCAGAATTTGCCCAGCACCCCATAACAGAAATATTACCTCATAGTTATTAGACACTAGCCCAGGTTGCCCAGGGAAGCTGTGGCTGTCCCATCCCTGGCAGTGTTGAAGGGCAGGTTGGATGGGGCTTGGAGCAACCTGGGCTGGTGGGAGGTGTCCCTGCCCATGCAGGGGGGTTGGATCTAGATGGTCTTTAAAGTCCCTTCCAACCCAAACCACTCTAGGATTCTATGATTCATACGACTCCAGTTTCCCACATTCATGACCAGAAGGTGCATTTTCATGCTATCACAGACACAGCTGAGAGCCAGTCTGGCCAGAGCAGCAGCCAGAGGGGAAAGCTGCCCCAGCCCCTTGCTCTTACTTTGGCTTGGTTGGAGCAGTCGTAGCGCATCCTCTGTCTGTTCTTGTTCATTTTATTCATCAACATCTTTCCTGTGCGGAAGTCAAAGGTGCCCAGGTCCATGGAGCTCCCCAGGTAACGGGCCAGCTGGGGCTTGCTCCGAAACTTCTTACCACTTGGGCTGAAAAAACCAACACAGCAAAGAAAGAAGACGGGAAATTAAAGCCCCCTGGACTTCAATACCAGCACTCGCTGCAACTCAAGAGGCAAGTTTTATTTCCTTGATGCAAAACCTTGTGCTTGGACTTCCAAGAAGGAAGCTCAGACTAAACTCTCCATGGATTTTACTGCTTTCACGTCAATGCTTTCTTGGGATTCATGTGGAAGAGGAATTAAGTGCAGACCATGTTAAAATGTTTACATGTAAAGAGGAAGATTCAGGCCAGGTAGAACTGAAAATAGTGCAATTCACACAATAACTAACATGGGAGATGCTGGCACAGATGAGCTCCTGTCCTGGTTTGGCTTCATCCTGGCTCAAACCAGGACAAATTAACATTTGAGTGTCTCAAATAATAAATGCTAATTTTCCAGCATAATTTCTTCTCCCAGGAGTCTCATTGTTTGACTAGCACCAAAAACAACTCCTTGGACTCCTTTCCCACCTCTGAACAGCAAATCCAGTTTTGATGACAAAGCTTTGGTAGCATTTAGAACATTTAACTCCAGGATCACACAGTAACCAGGAGAAAGAACAGAAGTGAACTCTGGCAGGCCACAAAAAATTACAAGACTTAAACGATGCAAAGATGAGGGTCAAACCCCTGGAAAACCTTTCATTAATGGCAAAACAAACGAGAGATTCTTTTTAAACACCTGGTTTCACATGAAAGACTTCAACCTGGCAAGGAGGCACAAGTTACCCCAATTCCTTGTTGTTTTTTTAAAAAATTATTTGACTTTTTGCACTACTACAAAAAGCACTGCCAGGTGAGCTCTTTAAATTTGTATGCATTAAGCAAAAATAAGTCAATGTATTATGACTGCAGTGTAGAACTATTCAGACAATAAGCACAAAGGACATTCACATTATCATTCAGCATCACAACACGTCTTAATAACCTTTAATTTCTCTCATTTGAGGTTCAAATGCTTCCCTAGGACAGTTTGAGCTCTGTGATTAAGGGCAACTCCTGTTATTCCTGAAGCCAGAAACACAGGCAACTTGTTGCAAGGTTTCTGCTTGAAGGCCAAAAAGAATTTGAAATAATAAAGTTGCCCCAGAATGAAAGAACTGTGACTATTTCAGCAGTGTAAACCCTGCCCTCCTACAGTGATGGTGTTCATGCTGGTACTAACCACCTTTCTAGGGTCTTCTCAAAGGAAAAAAAAAAGGCTCCAAGGAAAAAAAGCCTCTTTTCAACATATTATTTGCTTCCCTGAAGCCCTTATTAGGGAAAAGGTGTGAAAAAAATAGCATAAAAATTCTAGTATGGGACACTGACAAACTAATTAGTTGAAGTCAGACTGTGGATGCAAAATAAGAGATTAAAGAAAAGCAATCAAAGTATTAAAGCTCTCCAAAAGTTAATATTAATATTAATAGTAAAACTGAAATCTGAAAAAGTCTCCCAAAGGACTTCTGACCAAAAAGCTGTGTTCACCCCCCACAGCATCTGCTTAGGAAGCTCCTGGCCCTGGTTGCTCCCAAGCTGCTTATCCTGCCCCACATCTACTCCTCAACACCACTGCTCAGCCTTGAGAGCATTCATTCAGATGCACAGTTAAGCAGATGGGGAAAATAATCCATCTTTAGAGCATAGGGAGAAGAGGAGGAAACACTTTATCACTGGTTATTCCTCAGCTGGACCAGTTAACTACACAGCTGCATGAACACTCAGGCCAGATGATGATACAGAGCAGGAAAAGCAGACAGGAAGAGACTGGGTCCAGACTCAAATTTGAAACCCATTTAAAAAAAATATTAATGGAGTTATATGCCTCAATCCAGGAGGAATAACCAATCCCAGCAGCTTTTAGGCCAGAGCCATCACTGCTGTCAGTGAAGCCAAGAGAAACTCCTGCTCCACGAAGAACATAAAACTGCTTCCTCTGCCAAGATCTGCAGCTACAATTTATGGTTCAGTACCTGGATAATTTTTAAGATAATATATGACAGTGAATTGTGCACTTAGAAGCATAGAGTAACTTCCAGAACAAGAGCCAGATACACTCAAAGACAGTATTTTAAATTAACATAGCCCTTCAGCTTTTTTGTTTGATGTGTTCTAGGAACTGTGCAAAGGATCTGAAAAACTGCAAGTCCACATATATCTAAAAAAACCCACCTGAGATGACTCAGAGTCCTGTCTCTTCCTGGGGATGCTTGGCCCAAAGGAAAGGCACTGAAATGTTCATAAGAAAAAACTTTTATTGCGATTATGTCTTGAAAAAAGGCAATACCATAAACCAAGCCTCTCTGGAGCAATAGCAGAGAGGGGAACAAAGCTGCAACTCAAAGTGACAGTAAAGTTGCTCATGGGACACAAAGGGAAAGGAAGTGGCTGGTGTGCTCTGGAGCTGCTGGGTGTGACACAGCCCCTGAGGGCACCTCAAGACACCCCCGAGGGTCAAAGCAGGAAGGGAAGGGAGGAAAAAAAAAGCAGCCAGAAAACCACCCCCAAGCGTGAGCAGCAGGACTGCTCGCTGCCCAACCCGGCACAGAAACAGGAAAGCAGCATTTCTGAACTCTGAGTGTTGTTCAAACGACTCTCTGCTCTTTACACAATACGAGAGGTATCTCCTTCCTCTCCAGAGCACGAGTTTTGCTCTGCACTCCTGTTTTTGGTACACAAAGACTTCGAAGAAACCCAGAAGAGAGACATCTTGGAACAAAGCTGCAAAACCCAAGCTGTTCTACATCACCCTGCAGAGCCCGGTACCGGGAGCGCTGGGTCCTGAATCAGGGCCTTTCACACAGGCCGTGCTCGGACAAACAAGGCGACTGCGAAGTTGCAACGGATTTTCCATGCTCGTCCATCAAAAGCCCCACGGCATTCCCTGCTGCGCCCGCCTCGGCACTAACAAAACCACCCCCGAGAGGCGGGACAAGCAGACCCAGGCCCCAGGGGGGTTATTCACACTTGGGGGGCGCGGAGCAGCTCCGGAGGGGCCAGGTGCTGCTGCTCTCCATGTGCAGCTCAAGCCTTTGTTTCCTGCCTTAGATTCTTACCGAGGGACCGACTGCAAAGCCCGGCCTGTCCCCTCCTCCCTCATTACACAATCTAAAGCCCCACCATTCCCTGCTGCGCCCGCCTCGGCACTAACAAAACCAGCCCCGAGAGGCGGGACGAGCAGACCCAGGCCCCAGGGGGGTTATTCACACTTGGGGGGCGCGGAGCAGCTCCGGAGGGGCCAGGTGCTGCTGCTCTCCATGTGCAGCTCAAGCCTTTGTTTCCTGCCTTAGATTCTTACCGAGGGACCGACTGCAAAGCCCGGCCTGTCCCCTCCTCCCTCATTACACAATCTCCTCCCCATTGAGCCCGCACAAGATCCGCACAACTTGCAAAGGCAGGGACAAAAGACAAAAAAAAAAAAATAAATCCCCCGAGCAAACTCAGACATGGCCTGCCTTGTAAAGGTCTGGAGCCCGGCAGATCCGAGGGGAAAGGAGCCCGGGGCTGGAGCAGCTCTGCTCTGGGGACAGGCTGGGAGAGTTGGGGTGTTCACCCCGGAGAAGAGAAGGCTCCAGGGAGACCTTAGAGCAGCTTCCAGTGCCTGAAGGGGCTCCAGGAAAGCTGGGGAGGGACTTGGGACAAGGGCAGGAAGGGAGAGGACAAGGGGGGATGGATGAAAAGTGGCAGAGGGAGATTGAGGTGAGACATGAGGAGGGAATTGTGGAGTGTGAGGGTGGGGAGAGCCTGGCCCAGGTTGCCCAGGGAAGCTGTGGCTGCCCCATCCCTGGCAGTGTTGAAGGGCCGGTTGGATGGGGCTTGGAACAGCCTGGGCTGGTGGGAGGTGTCCCTGCCCATGCAGGGGGTGGGGCTGGATGGTCTTGAAGGTCCTTTCCAACCCAAACCATTCTATGAAAACAGGTGATCAATAGCACATTCCCATGCCCTGTTTCCAGGGGAGGAGTGACAGGTATAACACACTGGTTTTCCTTCTCCATTTCCATCGTGCTCCCTTATGTGCTGAGCTGGGGGGGGTCACTGCTCCCCTCAGCCTCCCTCTGCTGCTCCCCTCCCCACAGCTCTGTTCCAGGGGCCCTTTGGGTGCCATCCCCCCCTCACTCTGCTTCCTGGGGAGAACTGCACACCATGGGACCCTCACCCACTGTCAGTCCCTCTCTCTCTCAGCATCTCCACGTCATCCCTGGCTGCAGCACCTGCACCAACATGGCTGTCTGTCCTGGGAGACCCCAGCTGTCTAAGAGTAGGACCAACGAAGCACTGGGTTCTCCCAGGACAGACTGACAGGGACATACCTCCAGCTTTCACCAGCATGTAAAAAGCATGAGGGTGAACAAGCAGGAACTAAGTGATTCCTCCAGCTGCCAAAACCCAGCCTGCATTCTCACCCATCCACACATCCATCTCCTCATCCCTCCCTAAACAGGTGCCCTCTGGATGGAGCAGCCCTGGGGAATCAAGGTGTCCCCTGCTACCACAGCTGTCCCCAGCAATATTTATGGTGGGTGCCCCACTTTGCTGCCAGCAGCAGTGTGTAAGGGATGCTCCCCACCTTGCAGGGCCACAGGGTTCTTCACTAACTCAGGCTCTGACCGCAAAAATACCAACCAAAACACCCCCCCCAAAAAACCAAAGCAAACCAGCTTTTGCTAGGCACAATACCTCTCAAATTTCCAGCAGCACCCACCACTAAAAAAAGAAGCCAAGTGGCAGTCCCAGAACACAAGAACAAGCCCAAATATAAGCAGGCACTTCTGTAAGGATCATCTCCAGCATCAGGAGAACTTCCCTGGAGGAGCCGCGGGCTAAATAAGAGTGACCAAGAAAGAGCAAAGGGTGGTCCCAGGAAAAGCATTCTCCTCCACAGTTTTTGGGGGAAAAAACTGAAAAAGAAGACCAAAATGCACTTGGGCACGTTAAAATAATTTTCTTCAACTTTTTACGTATGTGCTGCTTTGGTAAGAAATTCACAATCAAAAAAAAAGCTTCACCCGAGAGATCTAGTAAGTTTTCCAGAACAATGATGCCAACAGCTCCTTGAAGCAGAGATGTGCAGCCACCCCAAACTTCTCAGACACTTGGTCATCAAACCTTCAGCTGAAAAACACTATGAGAAGCCAGACAAAGTAGCACTCAAGTTCTCCCTCCTCTAGGTGAGGGCACTGAGTTTGAAGGGAGCCTTTGTAGCCAAAACTCTCCAAGACAACCCACGACTTTCACAAAACCCCTGATGCTTTTGCCTTCCCAAAATCCTGCATCCCTGCACCCTTCCTGCTCACTCTGGATTTGGTCACAAGCCCCACCACATCCACCAGGCACCTTCTTGGGTTTCTGAACTCTTAAAGCTGATGAGAGATCACACTGCAGCTAAAAAAAACTCTGGACATTCAACAGATGATAAGTGCAAGGTTATAGGATGGTTTCTTAACATCTGCCCAGGGACTTGGACCTCGAGGAGGGTTTAATTTCCAGCCAGTAGCTGCTGGCACAGACTTGCAGCTCTCAGACTGAACACACCAGCACAACCCACTTCTACCATCACGCAAAGCAGAACTTATATTCCACAGAAACCTTGAGCTGCTGGTGCTCAGGGTGACAAAAGGAAACCTCCAAAAAAGCAGCACAGCTCTGAACAACTGTGTGGAAAAGCAGTAAGTGTTGCCCCACCAGCAACTTTGCCTCAGTGTTAATTCTCAAACCTGGTTATTGCATAGGAAAAGTCCTGGTTTCCAAATAATTTTTCACAAGCAGTGACTGCATCTTGTACACTCAGTGCAGCTGGACAAAAAAAATCACCCAGGTAAGCAACAGGGAGAAATAGTCGAGGTACTAACAAACTGCCACAGACATATTTTCCACTCTGAGGTAATGCAAAATGCAACAGTAACCAAAAATTAGTGCAGCAGGGCCCTATTATACCTTTCATCTCTGTCCAAATTGATATAAAGGGAAAACCCATTGTAACTTGGGAATAAATATATGCTGCTTATCCTCTCTCTCCCTCTTTTTTCGGTTCAGCTCTGAGACCACAACTTCACTAACAAAGTAAGTTCTTGGAAACAGGGGGATCTTTTAAGCTTTCGGCTGCACCTCCTCGAGCTGCTGCCAGGGGGTCTTTTCTTCTCCCCGCAGGCTCCAACTGCAGCGGTGGAGCTGGCACTTCCAGCTTCACATCTGAGGGTGATATTTGCTGGTTCCCTCCCCATCCAGCACAACACGCTTTTCTCCCACCATCATCTGATTTAAAAAAACAAAACCGAACTCGTGGCAGGAGCTGGTGGCATGGATTCTACCGGCTAGAAAGGTGGGATAAAGACACCTGGATAACCTCTGCAAGGCTCTTCCAGCTCCCAACGGAGCAAAGTTTCACACATCAGCTCAGGGGTGCACTGAGGCTGCCTCTGATGGGGGCAGGAAGGATCCATATGGCCCAGGAAGGATCCATATGGCCCCACCTACAGCCACACGAGACACACACTGACATTAATAGAAATTCTTCAGGCAGAGCAAGCAGCTCCCCAGCCACATGCATCCCCAGACAGCAACAGTGGCAGGAGGAACCACCCTGAGCCCTGCCCCGGGCTCTCAGCTACAGCAACAACCAACACCCCAGGCAGGCAAACGCTTCTTTCTTCACCCTACCCCCCAAATTCCTTCGTACGCACAAAAAGCAGCAGATGGAGCCTCAAGAACAGGCAACCCCTCTCGCGGATACCCTGGCTGCTCTGCAAACACCTGGTTGACTTCAAGCTAAAAAAAACCAACCCCACAACCCCACAACAACAGCTGTACGGGCCGGGCAGCAGCC